TAATAATTTACATTTCATTTATATTGCAATTCATGTTTGAAACATCTTGAAGTGTGACGAAGTAGTTGGTTCCCTCCCCATTCATTCTCTGAAGACTGGGTGATAGCATTTTATAGGCGGAGGGGTTGCATTAATGCATTTTAAATTAAGGCCTAAATTCTCAATACCTTGAGAACAATGGGTTGTGATTTTGCTTTAAATAGTCTTCTGACGGTTTATGCATAATTTGTAATCACAAAAATATAAGTTACCCTCAGAGGAGATTCGAGAGCATTCCAAAATACCCCGATTAAAACTTAGTGGTATGTCCCAACCAATTTCCTCTCTCTCTTTGAGGAATCTACTCAAGCCTGAGGAACAACAAAATACAGTGGTGAAAGCCCTTATGGAATATTTGTGGGACACAGGCCTGTACCATAAGGTGTAAGTCCACAGTATAAATCTGTGTAATTCTTTGCACGAACTGTGGGAGGCAGCAATACGCTAATGGGCGTCTAGACTGCCGAAAAGCCAAAAGAAGGAGAAGAAGAATTTCCTCTCTCAGTCTCCTCACCTGCCGGACCAACTGCATCGGTCACTCCTCCGACCTTCTCTGCCTGTCTTGCACAGTAAGTTTGACATATTTCTTTTATCTTAACTGTTTTCAGTGAAGCAAACAAGCTTTGTTTTGTGCTTAGGCTTGATGTCCTTAGCCTGGCTGGGTCATCCTGTTGCGTGAATCACTTGCCGTTCCTTCCCACAACAGTCTGGACTTCAGCCCATTGGGAGCGTGTATTAGCGATCAGAAAATAACCGGGCCAATCAGTGACTGTGTTTCCACTGTTCCGCAGGAGACGTCGGATATAAACGGTTTCTGCCGACTTTGCAGAGTCAACTGCAGAATTAATGGCGTTCTGAATGAACGGTGCTTTGAAAAGTCCCGCAGCATGTGTTAGACGTCACCATCTACACATGACCAATCAGTGACTGTGTTTCCCTGTTGTCCGGGGAACAGTGGAAACACAGTCACAGTCACTGATTGGCCCGGTGTTTTTGAAAAAAAAATGCACTGAATCTTGACAGCGGATTTTACTTTCAATTCTCGATCAAAGTTTAGACTCTAATGTTCAAAAAAGGTGGTCGGGTGTCTGTTTTAGTGCAAACGTTACCGTTAATGTCATTTTAATCTGTGTTGGTACGAAATCTGGACATTTAAATTTTGTGACCACAGCGGATTTGAAGCTTTTACAGTGTAGCGGAGAATGGCGCTAAACGGACATGTTTGTAGTCTTTGGGAATAGACACTGATGTATCTTTGAACACATAGATGTAACATGTGTGTGCCAGTTGAAATCCTTATTGATCAGCACTCCCAGGTACTATAGGAGGAGACTTGTTTGATGTTATGGTCATGAACAGTATTCTTGTTATCTTGTCTTTCAGCTGCTGCTCGACAGTTTGATTACAAAATGAGCCAGAAGCACTCCGAGGATACGGACAAGTCTTGGCTACGTTTTGCACCAAACCGACAGGAAGGCATCCCAAGAAATGCTCCGGAGCAGCAGGGAGCTGTCCCAAGAAGTCCCGGTGCATGTGGCAAATGACATTTTCTACTAATTTTCTACATTTCTACTACTCTGGATTTTCTACAAATATTCTACGTTTTCTACTACTCTGGACTACTCTGGAGTTTTTCTTTAGGCTACGTTATTGGCAATTGTCATTGCCTTGATGTTCAATAAATTTTAAGTTTAAAATCATGTTGTCTGTCTTTATTTTTTAATTCATTTTTAATATTTATTTTCACATTTTAGGAAAAGGTAATTTTGAACAAGCTATTAAGATGTAGTCTTAAAGTATATCAGCATACACATAATTTAACATGTACATGCAGATTACCATTAGATTGTTGGATGATCAGGATCAATATTGAATCCTAACATGATTCAATAAATCAATTTATGTACATGTAGGTTTCCATTTAGATGATGGTTGAATCAATGTTGATTCCTGATGTTGATTCAATATAAAATCAACTAAAATGTGCAGGAAGATTACCATTTAGATGATGGTTGAATCAGTGTTGATTCCTGATGTTGATTCAACATGAAATCAACTAAAATGTGCATGCAGATTACCATTTAGATGATGGTTGAATCAGTGTTGATTCCTGATGTTGATTCAATATAAAATCAACTAAAATGTGCAGGAAGATTACCATTTAGATGATGGTTGAATCAGTGTTGATATAGTGTCAGTTAGTGGTTGAAAACCCAACGTTGAATCAAGATGGAATTCCTTTGCACTTTCTGTACAGTTTCAACGTTAGGTTTCAACGTAGATTCAATCATTCTGCCTGACTATCTTTCAACGTTGATTCAACTCTATTTTGCTATCTGGGTAGCGAATTCAGGGGAGATCAGGGACATGGAATGTAAGTGGGGCATGTTGAAAGCCTCCACAATGAATCAATGAATGAATCAATCAATGTTTATATGGCGTAATTTCACAGCAACAGTTAAACTAAGACTCTTGACAAAAAAGACCATACTTACCATTATTGAAGTAGCTACTAGAGTTGTGGCTTAAAGGCTGTGGTTACCTGTCCTGACGGTGACCAAATTGAAAATTCTAGGAGGTGCTTTTGAGCCGGAGTTTTCCAAAAGTTTTGAATAAGACCATTAATGTGCCAAAATGGTGTGTTTCATTGGCATTTTAAGGCCCCCAAGGAGCAATTCATGAGCCTGAAGCAATAAAGTGTGGTCCTTATATACTTGGTGCTCAGGCCTCAATGATTACAGTCTTTCCATCTTGAAAGAAATTTGTTGATTATTGATTTGCCGGCTTATGACACACAGTCCACCACACATTATATTTATTAAATCAAAGACCAATAAATAATTTTCCAATATTATTTTTTTTTCACTTGGTTCTGTAACAGAATTTATTAAACATACCGCTTCAAGAAGCAACAGAATCTATAGAGCAGAAGAAGTTCAGATCATGATTCTTGAATCAGTTTCTACTGGTGAGTGATAAGGTTTACTATCATACAGCCTAGGCTAAAATGTTGTCGAAATGTCTAAATTTCACAAGTTATAGTTTGATTACAAAGCTAGCTACTTCTAGCTAGCTACCTATTCCTAACCCACTTCTTTCTGTAACATACCAAATATAAATGGGCACAAGGTAATAATACCCCTCAAAGTTTTAAAATTACATAAATGTTTTTGCTTTTTGGTAGGAGAAGTACTTGACTTTTGTGATCCCTCCTTATCCACTGAAGATTATATCATCCTTGAAATTGAGCCGATTGTTAAAGAGATTGAGATGCATGTATCAAGTAAAGACCCTCTTTTAGTTGGAGCAGACAATAGCTTAAACACTCCCAATGACATGGATACAGATGATAATATCAGAGATCCAGATAACCCATCCCATGATGCAGAGATGGGAACTGTGGAGTCACCAAGTCATCTCCATGCCATGTATTTGTTCTGCTCAGTTACTGAACCAGGTGCCTTCACTAATGAGCTCACCTTCCTGGCTGCTCATTGGAAGCAGCTGGTTCAGTGACAGAGCAGAACAAATATATGGCATGGAGATGACTCGGTGACTCCACAATTCCCATTTCTGCTATGATGAGTCATCTGCCCCTGAAAATGAAGACAGCCAAGCCGTGGGGGCAGCAACACTGGAACAGCATAGTGAGGATGTTGAAGAAAACAATATGGTCAAAAGAAAATGACAGAAACACCTCAGCTCAGTTACATGGAAGCAAAATTAATCCAAGGGAAAGTGTCTTAAAGGAATGCCATTCAAGTCCAACGGTGGCAAAGAAAGGACTGCGAAGGCTCTGGTTATTCCCTACAATTCGAAGTTCTGTTGCAGAAAGAAGACTGGAGGCTGCCAAACCATTACAGAAGAGCAGAGGCAGTGGATATTTACAAGAGTGTGGTCAATTGCAACATGGAAAGAATGCAAGTTATACATTACAGCTCTGGTCACAAAGGTTGCCACCAAGCAAAAGAAAGTTGCTGAGGGATCCAGACACTCATCATTTAGCTACCAGCTGAAACTTCAGGGTGGATCAAGTCTTGCATCTACACTTGGTCTCCCTGAAAGAACCGTCACACACTGGCTGAGCGAAGACTCTGACAAAGATCCTGACAAAGGCCGGGAAAAATAAGCAGCAGCCCCATCAAACAAATTTGGACCAAAAAGTGGCAAGCATGCAAAAGTGGAAACCAATGTCACTAATTTTCTTAAGGACTGGTTGAAGGAGCTGCCTACTGTTGATTCACACTTCTGCAGAAACATAGTGGCCTACAAAGACAAGAAGTTTCTATACCCAGGCACAACCATCGCTCAGCTACACCAGGAATACCAACAGGCAGCTGCAACTGCTGGAATGAGGGCTGTGAGTGAGTAACACTTCAGAAATGTGTTCCATGAAGAAAAATTCTGTATTCATTCCGAGAAAGAATCAGTGTGATGTTTGTGTGTCATTCAAGCGTGGGAATATCAGTAGGGCTGAATATGATGCAGATGTGAACAAAAAAGATGAAGCAAGGCAAGAGAAATCCTGTGACAAGGAGTCTGCAAACAAGTAGAAATCTGTATGGACAATGGATGTGCAAGCTGTGCTGCTGTGTCCAAAAACCCAAGCCAGCTGCTCGTGTTACAAAACAAAACTGCAGGTCCACAACTTTACCCTCTTCGATTTGCATTCAAAGGAAGGGTACTGCTACATCTGGGATGAGTCAGAGGGAGACCTCAGCAGCGATATTTTCGCACACCTTCAGTACCGCCATTTTGAAAAAGTGATCAAAGAAAACGCTGAATTCAAGGAGATAGTAGTATGGAGCAATGGCTGCATTTCTTAGAACCGGAATATAAGTGTGGCAAACACATATTCTGAGCTCTCCAGAAAACATGGGGTTCTTACAACACACAAATACCTTGTCGCTGGTAACACACAAATGGAATGCGACAGCATACACAGTACCATCAGGCGCAAAATGACAGCGGACATCATTACCCCAAGAGACAACATGATCATCCTCCAGACTGAAAGACTCAAACCAAAACCCTACCAAGTGAAGGTGGTCCAACATGATGAAATCATAAAACTCATTGGATCCTACTTCTCAAGTATCAGACCTGGCAAAAAAGCAGGAGACCCAACTGTACATCATTTGCAGGCTCTTCAATTTAGCCCTGATGACAAGGTCCAGTACAAGCTATCCTTCTCTGAGAACTCTGAGTGGGATGCACTGCCATAGAGGGTACAGATGCCAAGTGAGTGGATTGCATGGATCGGAGTGTTCCAGCATGCCCTGCCAATAAAGAGAGTAAGTTCTAGGACCTTCAGTCGATGAAACGTGATGCCTGTTGAGTGTCATCACTTCTTTGACAATTTGCCACATAGATGGGCAAATCAAGATGACCGAGAATGAAGATTCAGGGAATAAATGGAATAGAACTAGTATAGGTACAAAAACCCAGCAAAGAAGAGTTGGAGAAGTGAGGAAAGGGAATGCCTCCTGACCAATTTGATTTAGCTGACATTTGTTTAATTTAACTCGCGATAATTTCAGTTTTGAGGTTGGACTATCAAATGAAAGGGTAGTTTAAACCAGGTTTAAATTAAGTCACACTAAAATGTTCAAAAATTGACCAAAGTCACTTTATTCTTTAATGTTACATAACTGACACACAACGTTCTACTTATGTCAACAGTCATCCACTGTCAAGGCGTTTTTGTGTGAAATGATTTATAAATATCATATGCTCTGCATTTGGTCACGTTTTTTTGTGTTTTCCCAAAAACCTTAAATATGGCTTAGGCCGTTATTTTAATAGGGTGACAATATTTGAAATATTTTTACTTCAAAAACTATTATGTTCTCCCAAGAACTTAACTTATACTCAGAGCGCATATTTTGGTCAGCTTCAGTCCATACACAATGGGAGTGAAGAGAGACTGAAATGTGAGCCAGAATAAAGACAGAACAATATGTAACAGCTGGGGAATATGTTTCATATCAAACCTGCTCTGGACTATTTTAAAGACACAACAATTATGTAGAATTTATTGTTGTTTTTGAAGTAGGTGGTGTTAAGGCAGAGTTCTAATAAGAATGAGAAATTCTACAGACAATAACACAATTGCGCCATAGGCTCCCCTGTATCACCCATTGTGGCCAACCAGTACATGGAAGAGGTCGAACACCAAGCTCTTGCCTCCATCAGGGGTGTTACACCTTGCCTCTGGTTGAGATACGTGGATGATTTCTTGAGTTGTGTTACAGCGCCACTTTCTGGCATGGCATAAGCACTACACCGTTTTCAGTCATTCCGTGTTTACATGGATATCTCCTGAGGCAAGGCATCAGATGCAGTGTTTCATGTCCATGCTGACATACAGTTGTATGTTACCAATACCATTGTTTCATTATTGCACAACCTATATGACACTGTTCTGACGCTGGGGCCAGAGCTTGTTCTAAATGCAGAGAAATCCAAGCTGATGTTCTTCATCAGCCTAAAAGCTGGGTCACAGAGTAAACTTGTAGTAGTCATTGCTGAAAGTTTTGAAAGATAGAGGTTACAAATACCTGAGTGTTCTGATTGATGATGATCTGGATGATGTTATTCCTGGTGGAAAATGGTGAGGTTTTTATTTTTCTAGACAAAATATTTTTCTTTTGTTGGTTGCATGTGTAGGAGTTGTAGTACCATGGGTAGTTGCTGAGTCCTGCTTAAGATCGAAATCAGCAGCTCTGTAAAGCTTGTCAGCTGAATAGCCTTAAGCCTGTGTTGACCTCAGACTCGATGAAACACAGATTGCAGACACTCCATGCTGGGCTTAGAACAGCTTGGATTATGTGCCACTCCAATCTTTCTCCAGACTCTGGGACCTTGGTTTCCAAATGAAATTCTATGTTGGCTTGTATCTGGTGGTGATGTGCTGTTGGCATTGTCTGGTTTAGGGGTAGTGGGGAAAAAGAATGGCAGTTGATCCATGGTTGACACACAATTATGGTATGGTATCATAAGATGCAAGGATTCAAATGAGTTGATGGTTGTCACTGTGGTGTGAATGGGTGAATTAGACATTAAGTGAGAAGATACAAACATTTTTTTTTCTTTTAACATTAATATGTTATCTAATTGGAAATTGTACATTTTGAAATACAAGATTTAGTAGTGAAAACACAATACACGAATGCAAGTTTGAGACAATGAAGGTGTGTTTACCCTCTCTCAACTTTGCATCAAGTATCCCCACCCTCCATTTTGTTGCAACATGGGAAAAGAGCCAGTCTCCAGCGCAAAGAGATAAAAAGCAGCCGCAGCAAAGTGTCAGCTCAGTCAGACACACTTCGGGAGTCACATGATATCTTAAGTTCACTGTGGTTTTTACCATACCTGAACTACACCTTTGACTCACTGGTGTGAAGGAATGGTGGGTGTAGGATATCCCTCACATTATACTATCCATTGTTTGTTTTATGTGTTCACCCTGAATTCTGTTCATGTGCAGGGGATCATGGTCAACTCCACCCAGGTTTTACATTTCACACTGGGTGCCTACTTTGACTCTGGAGGTTTCAGATACTTGTTTTTCATGATTGCCATGCTTGCATATCTTTTAATACTTTGTGCAAATGTGTTGCTGATTGTGGTGATCTGTATGAACAGAAGTCTTCATGAGCCCATGCACGTATTTCTCTGCAGCCTGTGTGTGAATGAGCTGTACGGCAGCACCGGACTATTTCCTCTCCTCCTGGTCCAGATCCTCTCTGACAGTCACTCTGTTCCTGCTTCTTTGTGTTTCCTGCAGATTTTTTGTCTATACTCATATGCTACTGTTGAATTTTTTAACCTGGCTGCCATGTCCTACGACAGATACCTTGCTATCTGCTGTCCCCTACAATATCATACACACATGACTTATCAGAAGATTGCCATTCTTGTTGTTGTTGTGTGGTTGTGTGCCTCTATTTTATGCATTATTCCCATTACTCTGAGTGTTCCTTTGCAGTTGTGCGGCAGCATGATTAACAAAGTGTACTGTGACAACTACTCCATTGTTAAACTGGCATGCTCTGACACAACAGTCAATAACATTTATGGACTCTGTGGAACCTTTGTTGCAGTCTCATTTCCTTTGGTTTTGATTCTTTATACCTACACAAGGATTCTGAAAGTCTGTTTTTCAGGCTCCAAACAGACCAGACAGAAAGCTGTCAGTACCTGTACACCTCACCTGGCCACCTTGCTGAACTTTTCCTTCGGAGCTTTCTTTGAAATAGTTCAGAACAGGTTTATTATGACCAAAGCTCCTACCTTTTTGAGGATATTTTTATCCTTATACTTTCTGACATGCCAGCCCCTCCTCAGCCCTTTAATTTACGGTCTGAATATCACAAATATTCGTATGATCTGTAAAAGTTTATTCCTCTCTTGCATGTTGAGCTCAGATGTTAGCTAGTATAACTGTTCTGTTGTTATCTTAAGAGTGAGAACAATAAAAAAGGATGTTCATGACTACAACATTGAACTACTGATAATAACTGATTCATGGTACATTTTATTCTTTGCATGTTGTGTAAAATCTAGAAAAATGATGTATTTATTTGCTAAAAGACTGGCTTTAAAATAGAAATAACTGCCAGAATCTTATTGTTCAAATATGGTTGGTTGCATGATTTGAGTTACACTCAATAAACTCTGAAATTATCTTTTAAGTTGTCTGGGACTTATTTCTATTGCCTTTATTTATTACCTGCCTTTAGTCACACCATTGTCTTTTACAGCATCAAGACTACTTTCCTCTTGGTCAGTCAATCAGTCTCTTTGACTCTATACCTCAGATGATGAAAAAGATCCAAAGACACTCACTCTTTGTAAACAGCAGAGACATGTTTGTTGATATCATCAGGCACATACAGACCAACCAAAGATACTTTGGTGTTCTAATTGGTGCCAACATGGAAATATCTGATAAATGAAATGATGTTCAGAGTTTCAGAAAGCTTGTCATCAGGAAAGCAGGTTTGACTTCAATGGTTAAAAATCCTACCAGGATCAAAGTGTTAACAAAAATGTGAAAAACCTTTGAAGAGATTTTTTTTTCCCCATCAAGCAGCTCTCTTAAAACTTTAAGGTTGCAAAACCCTCTCATAAGAACTCAAGTTTATAAAGAACAATAAACCTTTATTTATCTATATTATTTCTAAAGCAGCTGTCATGGGAGTGAACTTGTTTTTTCATTAAATGAAGAAAAAGCAGGCACTGAAAATCAAAAGACAAACTGTATACAGAATAACTTTGTCAACTTAATCAGTCTGTATAGATATATCACATGTAGGTGTTTCAGTTCCAATTGTGAAGAGAAATTTTGTTTTTCTTTAGGTGTACAATCCCAGCTCCAGTGAGGTTTGGATGTTTGTGTGAAATGTGAAATAGAACAGAAAATAATGTTTTGTTTTGTTTTTTACTCCTTTTTCACCTGAAATCTCCTGAATACTCTACAAATATATTAACTGTTCAAACTGATAAATTGGATAGTCTTCTCTGTAAATATTCACTCATTTTGAATATGATGCCATAACTCATTCCTAAACAGCTGTTACAGGTTCCTGTATGCCGCTCTGTAACATCACCTTTCCTTTAACAACACTCAGTAAGCCTTTTGGAACTGAGGACACTAACTGCTGAAGCCTTCGAAATTAATTCTTTCACAGTCTTAAACAACAAACCACCATAACAACAACAACAATTAAATAAATAAAAAAAGTATCAGTAAGGAGTGATCTTTCTCAGACATCATGGCCACTGGTTAGTGAAAATAAAATCTGTCCAGTGAGGCGTGACATATTTCACCTAGTTTTCCCAGTATGATGTGAATTCTCTAATTTGTGATTAACAAATGCTGTTATCTTCTCCATTTTGTAAATGTCGATGGTAATGTCCATCCATATATTTAAAGTTGGCCTCTCCTGTAATAGCCATCTCCTGGTAATCCTTTTTTTACAGGCTATCAGCAAGATACTTATTAAATATTTTTCTCTTTTTGGCAATTCCTGAGGTCTGTATCCAGAAAACACAGTCTTACTCTCAAGGGGTATTTCACATTTGAAGATATCCTGTAGGGCATTGTGTATTTCTCTCCAGTAGTCCTTTATGATAGGGCAATTGTGAAGACTGGTCCCCAGTCCTCCAGTTTTGCTCCTCTTTGCCCTCCCCTCTCGGGCTGTCTTCCCCCCTTTATCCACTTCGCCTGAACGGCGCTGTAGGCTGCTCAGGATCCCTCTCTTCACTTCCTGCATGGGTGGCACCGCGGGAGCTGATCACCTGCTGGAGACCTCACCTGCTGCTAATTCCGGTCTGATTACCTGCCTACAAGAGCCCAGGGAGGAATCTTCTCAGTGCCGGCTGATTGCCTGACTAAGTGGTTCGTTCACTACGTTTGTGCTGGCCTTAAGCCTCTTCTCCCCTCACGGAGATTATCTTGTGCTTCATTTTTGGATGACTGTTGTGGATTCATGCTCGTTTTACCCCTGGACTAACTCCTTCTCTCTTTCTCGTTTTTTCCAGGTCTCCACGAGCTCCCGCCACCACCACCATCATTGCTTTGTTCACTTTTTACTCACATGTAAATAAAAATCACTGTTTGTTGAAATCCTGATCTGATTCAGCCTCTGCTCTGGGTCCACCTATGCACAACACCTAACAGAATCAGCCGGCCTCGTTATGGAGTCCGCGAGGTTGGATCAAATCAAGGATGCTCTGGTGTCACATGGAACACTTTTGGGACAACATGATTCGCTTCTCAAGGGAGTGACTGGAACTTTGGAGGAGATGACTCGCCAAATGCAACAGATTAGCGCTCAGCTGATTGAGGCCAGAGGCCCCCCTGCTACTGCGGTGAGTGCCGCGCCGGCTTCTCCCCCTGCCGCTCTCTCTCCAGACTCGGTTCATTTTAAAGAACCGTTTGTTTCACACCCTGAGCCATTTTCGGGTGATTTTGGGTCCTGTAGCCGTTTTTTGTTTAATTGTAGCCTTGTGTTTAAGCTCCAGCCCGGCAGTTATGCCTCCGATGAGGCCAAAATTGCTTATACCATTAATCTCCTTAGGGGTAGAGCCGCAAAGTGGGCCACAGCCTTATGGGAGGGGGGATCCAGTGTTCTTAATTCATTTGAGACATTTTCTGCCCAACTACGTAGGGTTTTTGATCACCCGGTTCTGGGCCAAGATGCTGCTAAACAGCTCCTGGCATTATCTCAGGGGGGTCAATCGGTGGCTAGCTTTGCGGTCGATTTCCAAATTTTGGCTGGGAGGTGTGGTTGGGACGAGGCTGCATTAAAGGCGTTATTTGTCAAGGGGCTTTCGGAGGAATTGAAGGATGAATTGGCAACTAGGGATGAGCCAGACTCACTACAGGAACTGTTTGATCTAGCAATTAAAATAGACGGTAGATTGAGAGAGAGAGACAGGGAGAGGGCTGCTAGTGCTCCCCGTCAGACTCCCCCTTCTGGTCATGTGGTTTCCACTGCTCGCCCTACTCTAGGCCAACTTACTCCACCTGCACCTACGCCACCTGCTACTGCTCCCCCTGCTGACTCGGAGGAGCCCATGCAGCTGGGCAAGACTCGGCTGAGTCTAAGGGAGAGAAGAAGACGGAGAGTGGAGAATCTCTGCCTTTACTGTGGAGGAGCGGAGCATTCCCTTCAGTCCTGCCCCCTTCTGTTAAAAGACAGGACTCATCATTAAGCAAGGGCGTAATGGTGAGTTGGCTATCAACCCCCAGAAGCCCTTCTTCCAGGTCCACGTTTCCTGCCTCTCTTAGTTTTCCCTCCTCCGTTATTAAGACTTCAGTTTTTCTTGACTCTGGCGCGGATGATAATTTTATTGATGAGGCCTTTGTTAAAGCTCACAATATTCCCACCAACTCGCTTTCTCAGGCTAAACAGGTTCTGGCATTGGACGGTCGAGTCATTTCGGAGGTTAAATTTGAGACAGTTCACCTCACCTTACTACTTTCCGGTAATCATTCCGAGAAAATTAAGTTTTTTGTCATTTCGTCTCCCTGTTCCCCAGTTATTCTCGGGCTGCCTTGGTTTAAACTGCATAGTCCTCACATTAACTGGGTCACGTCCTCTATTGTCAGTTGGAGCACTCATTGTCACTCTTTTTGTTTGCAGTCGGCAGTCGTTAACCCTCCTTCGGTTACACCGGCACCTCCTGATCTTTCTTCGGTACCCTCTTGCTATCATGACTTAGCACAGGTATTTAGTAAAGATCTGGCTAAGACACTGCCTCCGCACCGTCCTTACGACTGCGCGATTAACCTGCTCCCTGGCGCCCCCTTACCTTCTGGCCGACTTTACAACCTGTCTCGTTCAGAGAAGGATTCCATGCAGACTTACATTTCCGAGTCGTTGGCTTCCGGGTTAATTCGGCCTTCTTCGTCTCCCGTAGGGGCGGGTTTTTTCTTCGTGGGTAAGAGGGATTCTTCACTTCGGCCGTGCATCGATTTCCGTGGTCTTAACGACATAACCATTAAAGATAAGTCTCCCATTCCTCTTATCGATCCCTCATTTGAGCCCCTGTGTCATGCTAAGATCTTCTCCAAAACTTGATCTTAGAAACGCGTATCATCTCATCCGGATCAGAGAGGGAGATGAATGGAAAACTGCCTTTAACACACCCATGGGACATTTTGAGTATTTGGTGATGCCTTTTGGTCTCACCAATGCTCCGGCAGTTTTTCAGTCATTTATGAATGACATTTTCCGGGACGTGCTGAATAAGTTTGTTTTCATTTACCTCGATGACATCTTGATATTCTCCAAGAATCAAGATGAGCATCGTCAGCACCTCCGTCTCATTCTCCAGCGTCTCTTAGAAAACCGTCTCTATGTAAAGCCTGAGTAATGCGAGTTTCATGCGTCCAGAGTCAGTTTTTTAGGTTATATCATAGAGGCTGGTCAGTTACGCCCCGACCCTTGCAAGATCCAAGCTGTGATCAGTTGGCCCACCCCTACCACCCGTAAGGAGTTACAGCGGTTTTTAGGTTTTGCTAACTTCTACCGTAGATTTATTCGTAACTACAGTAGCGTAGCTAAACCTCTCACTCAGCTCACCTCTGTCAAGGTCCCCTTCTGTTGGTCAGACGAGGCTGACAGCGCCTTCCAGGACCTCAAGACATTGTTCACCTCTGCCCCTGTACTCCTGCACCCTGACCCCTCTCTACAGTTCGTGGTGGAGGTGGACGCCTCTGACTCCGGCATCGGTGCTATCCTCTCCCAGCGAGACCCAACTACCAACAAGCTGCACCCTTGTGCTTTTTTTTCTCGTCGCCTTTCTCCCCCAGAGCGAAATTACGACGTGGGAAACAGAGAACTCTTAGCGGTGGTGGGAGCTCTACAACAGTGGAGACACTGGCTGGAGGGCGTGGAGAAGCCTTTTTTGATCTGGACGGACCATAAGAACCTGGCGTATCTCCGGACAGCAAAACGGCTCAACCCGAGGCAGGCCAGGTGGTCTCTTTTCCTGAGTCGTTTTAACTTCTCCATTTCATATTGCCCCGGATCCAAGAACACCAAGCCTGATGCTCTCTCCCGGGTCTTCTCCTCTCCATCGGAGCCTGAGGGTCCTTCTTCCATCCTTCCTCCCTCCTGCATCCTGGGTGCCGCTCATTGGGACGTGGAGCGTGTTGTTAGGGAGGCCCAGACACGTCATCCGGATCCCGGAACTGGTCCCCCCAATCTCCTGTTTGTTCCTGACTCCGTTCGGTCGGAGGTTCTCCAATGGGGACACTCCTCCAAACTAAGCTGTCACCCCGGTATTAATCGCACCCTGTCTTTCCTCCGGCAGAGGTTTTGGTGGCCCTCAATGGCTCGAGACACTCGGGAGTTCGTGGCTGCCTGCTCAGTCTGTGCCCGGGGAAAGGCCTCCCACAAGCCACCAGCTGGTCTGCTGCGCCCCCTGCCGGTGCCCAGTCGCCCTTGGTCTCACATTGCTGTGGACTTTGTCACCGGGTTGCCCCCCTCACAAGGTAACACTGTCATCCTCACCATAGTGGATCGCTTCTCCAAAATGGTCCATTATGTACCACTCCCTAAATTGCCTACCGCACTGGAGACAGCTAACCTTTTAATCACTCACGTGTTCAAACTGCATGGAATCCCTCTGGATATTGTTTCAGACCGTGGGCCCCAGTTCGCCTCTCGTGTTTGGAGGGATTTCTGCCAGGCATTGGGCGCAGCAGTCAGCCTCTCCTCGGGTTTCCACCCGCAGACCAACGGCCAGACTGAGCGGGCCAATCAGGACCTCGAGAGTGCTTTACGCTGCGTCGCAGCCCATCACCCAGTTACCTGGAGCGACCATCTTCCTTGGGTGGAGTACGCCCACAACGCCCTCTCCTGTTCGTCTACGGGTATGTCTCCGTTCCAAGTTTGTTTTGGTTACCAACCCCCGTTGTTTCCAGAACAGGAGAGAGAGGTCGCTGTTCCTTCTGTGGGGGCTCACATTAAGCGTCTGAAGGAGGTATGGAGGAGGGCTCGAGAGGCTCTGTCCGCTACCACTGAGAGAACCAAACGCAGTGCTGATCTCCATCGTCAACCGGCTCCTTCGTATCATCCTGGCCAGATGGTGTGGTTATCTTCTCGGGACCTGCCCCTCCAGGTGGAGGCTAGTAAGTTGGCCCCTCGTTTTATTGGTCCTTTTCCGGTGGAGAAGATTATTAACCCCTCTGCCGTGAGACTCAGGTTGCCAGCTTCCCTGAGGGTCCATCCCACATTCCACGTCTCTCTTCTCAAGCCAGTGGAGACCAGCGAGCTCTGCCCTCCGGCCGAGCCCCCTCCACCCCCCCGACTCATTGATGACCATCCGGCGTTTACAGTATCCCGGATTTTGGACGTCAGGCCGCGGGGGCGAGGATTCCAGTACCTGGTCGACTGGGAGGGATATGGACCTGAGGAGAGGTCATGGATCCCCCGCGGTCTCATCCTTGATGGCAACCTCCTCCGGGACTTCTACCATGACCACCCCGACAAGCCGGGTAGGACGTCGGGAGACGTCCGTTGAGGGGGGGGTACTGTGAGGACTGGTCCCCAGTCCTCCAGTTTTGCTCCTCTTTGCCCTCCCCTCTCGGGCTGTCTTCCCCCCTTTATCCACTTCGCCTGAACGGCGCTGTAGGCTGCTCAGGATCCCTCTCTTCACTTCCTGCATGGGTGGCACCGCGGGAGCTGATCACCTGCTGGAGACCTCACCTGCTGCTAATTCCGGTCTGATTACCTGCCTACAAGAGCCCAGGGAGGAATCTTCTCGGTGCCGGCTGATTGCCTGATTAAGTGGTTCGTTCACTACGTTTGTGCTGGCCTTAAGCCTCTTCTCCCCTCACGGAGATTATCTTGTGCTTCATTTTTGGATGACTGTTGTGGATTCATGCTCGTTTTACCCCTGGACTAACTCCTTCTCTCTTTCTCGTTTTTTCCAGGTCTCCACGAGCTCCTGCCACCACCACCATCATTGCTTTGTTCACTTTTTACTCACATGTAAATAAAAATCACTGTTTGTTGAAATCCTGATCTGATTCAGCCTCTGCTCTGGGTCCACCTATGCACAACACCTAACAGCAATCCCAAAAATATGGTAGTGGTTTTCATTTTGATTTCCTCAGTTCCTCCAGCAAACAGGGTTATTGTCATAGTGAGACTTTTGGGAGGGTGTCATAAAGTAGCTAACTTCACAGTCTTGATTAATGGACAACTTCAGCTGATCTACACTCCACTGGGGTATTTTGGGCTTTATAGTGCTCCACATATTTTGGGAAATTTTTCACAATGGGAGACAGGTCTGGACTGTGGGCAGGTCATTCTTGTGCCTGGACTCTTCGACTCAGAAGCCCTGCTGTAACAACATGCTGAATGTTTTTTTGCATTGTCTTTCTGAAATCAGCAGGGACGTCCCTGAAAAAGACGGATCTCTGATGGCAGCAGATGTTGGTCCTAAAACTGTTTGTCATATCTGTGACGGCTCCATCAATGCTGAAAGGTACAGTTAACCTTGGACACTAACACACCCCTGGACCATTACAGATGCTGGCTTTGACCTTTGACCTGAGAACAGTCTGGATGGTCATTTTCCTCTTTAGACCATGATTTCTAAAAACTTTCTGGAACGTGTACTCATCAGACCACAGCTGACTTTCCCACTTTGGGTCAGTCCATCTCAGATAAGCTCAGGTCCTGAGAAGCTGCACTGAAAAATTTGATTTTTTTGGATATTACTTGTATTACACAAAGAGATTCTGCAAGGGATTTTAAGTCCACTGTATTTACTTAAAACATGTCAGAAAACATCCAGGTATTCACTATTCACTAGTATTTTAAAAAAAAAACTTATTTAAGAATGTAAATTTGAATACGATAATTGAGTGATATTTACTCGGTTCGTGTTATTATGTGATCAACTGGTTTGAAGCAAGTAAACTTTACTTTGCATATTTGGCAACCCCATTCAAACGTGGTGACTGACATCATGTCTAGTCAAGCAAATACAGGTTTGGACATGAACTAGGAAGGCAGCCAGCCAAATATTAACAGGGGAAGATTTCCGCGGTCACAGACGAGGACTACACACCCGTGTAAGTATATAATGTGTTTTTAATGCTTATAGTTGCTGTTAGCATGCATTTAAGTCAGCTTCAGGTTATTTCAAATAAAGGACAAAAAATATATCTATTACTTTGTGCAGCCTGCTATTTTCCTGCTAACAAATGCAGCAGGTGTCCGACCGACAACATTTCACTGTGTAGATGAAACAAAAAATGTTTGGTTTTAGTTTTAGGAAAAAGGTCAAACAGGCAGAGCATGTGCATTTGAAGAATACCTTTACTTGTGTTGAGAAAGAAAAAAACCAAAAGTTTTTGCATGTAAATGTTGTTTAATCATGCAAAACATGTGGCAATGTAAAAAGTTAAAAGTTATTGTTAAGAAAAATAAAGTTGTCGTTTAAACAGAGCTGTGAAACTATTACTATTACTATTAATACTATTACTTATTCTAGGGATGCACTGAAAATTCTGCCAAAATTCAGCGAAACACTTTTCTCACCGAGACAACACGGCCAAAACAGATGTTGTGATGACGCAAGCAAAAACTGCAACCAGTACAAGCTTGTCTGGATAAGAGCCAAAATGTCTGCAGTGTGGACATATTTCTGTGTATCTTAGAACTATGAATAGTGATTGGTTTAGGTGTAATGCTAAAATTTTAAGAGAGGGTGCATCTGCAAAGAGTTTCTTCACATCGGATTTAGTATATCACCTGATATCCAAACATCCCGATCACCATTCCAAATATGAGATGAACATGGCACAGAACAGGAACACACCCACTCTGTCTTTGGCAGATGTTGCAGCCTAGTACACAAGCAGACGTCCGAGGAAGTTTCACTTATTCTAGACTCATGCTCAGCCCCCGCCCTCAGCTGCTTGAAATTAAACATACTGATGCTACTTCTTCTTCTAGCCACATCTCTACCGCTCACAACAGATTTTGAGCTGTTTTTGTCCCTGACTCACGGGCACCATCTCAAGGTGTAATCCACTCAGGACATGCAGCAACATGCTGACTCAAAGACTTAAAACTCACATTGCAATTGCTTAATTTACTTAATTTAATATTTAACATTAATTAATATTAATTTAAACAATTGCAATGCCTTGATTTTTGTGAGATTAGTACACAGTCATAGCCATAAATGCAATGGTAATAATAATAGGCATAATAATTCGTTTTTCAGCCTTGGTTTCCTCATTTTATTTGGAAATGAATTTTATTTCAGTGCATCACTGCATTCTATAACATATACTGTGTTAGGCTATAGAGTGTCATTTTGGTTGGTGGTGTGCCCCAGGATTTTGTCAATGTAAAAATGTGCCCTGGCTCAAAAAAGGTTGAAAAACACTGCTCTATGTGGCCCTGCAATTGACTGGCAACCGATTCAGGGTGTACCTCGCCTCTGACAGCTGGGCTCCAGCCCACCCATGACACTGAGAGGGATAAGCGGTATAGAATAAATGAATGGATGAATGAATAAATAACTCAGAATTAGGTATGAAAAATATATAAAATGTTGAGTAAAAACTACTTCAATTAAGCGTTTAGATAACAGTTACGAATACAAGTAATAAAACCCGAAAAAAGCTATGTGTTTTTAAAGGCGGAGATTGTAGTTTGATGCAGACCAAGTGTAAATAGTAATCACTTACAAAATAGAGTAGCATTTAATGGAAGGACTGATAATTGTTATGAAGAAATAACATCTATATGCAAGTACAGTTTACTTGATAATACCCCTTGTAAATGTATTTAAATTGGTGAGCAGAAAAACTTTCCTCAGTTTTTTCAAGTAAATAACACTGTTTCTGGCTGTTGTTGATATCTGTCTTCTTCCTCACATAGCAGAGTTTGAACTTGTAGATGCAGAGATAAACTGTTAACTGACAATGGTTTTCTGAAGTCCTCCTGAACCCACATGGTAAAGTCCTTTACAGAATGATGTGGGTTTTTAATGCAGTGCTGCCTGAAGGGTCAAAGGTCATGGATATTAAATGTGTGTTTTGAGCCCTGCTGTTTATCTGTTTAGAGGTTTCTCTGAATCTTTTGGTAATTTTATAAATTCCTGCAGATGTATGATGAGAAACATTAAACTGTTGGACTATTTGTACACGCTGTTGTCAACAAAGTGGTGAACCTGGACCCACCCTGCTTTTGAAGGACTGTGTCTACAGGGATGCTCCTTTTATACTCTACCATGACCCTTACCTGTTTCCAATGGACCTGTTCACCTGTGGGATGATCCAAACAGGTGTTTTTGGAGCAGCCCTCAGTTTTCAGACTTTCAGTTTCATGTCTTTCCAGAAATCACATAATTGATAAGAGAAACACAACAATGCCATTAGCCCCCAGAGGAGGGTCAGAAGTAAGACAAGCAGCAGAGACAGTTTTCATTAAAGGTCCCATGGCATGCCAATTTCAGACAACTTAAAATAGTCCCCTGGTGTGTTAAAAGCATGTCTGTAACGTCCTTCGGTCAAAATTCGATTTGGATCAATTATTTTAGTGCTCTTTTTATCAGCTAAAAACAGCTCCGCTCAAAATCCTCCGTTTTGGGCCATGTCTCTTTAATGAAATGAGCTGCACCTAAGCCACGTCCACTTTACACCCATCTCTCTGGAAGGGGCTGTGGCTGTGCTCCAATAGCCATGTGCTATTGTTTACACTGGCTCGGTCATGGCTGCAAGAAGATCACTCGTACAATCCTACCAGTTTGAGCCAGAGTCTGACCCAGAGGGAGAGGCTCCGGAAGAAACTCTTAGCCGCGTTCAGACCAAACGCGACTTGAAGCGACCTAGTCGACACATCCTATGTATTATTCAAAGCCACCAGGAGGGTCACGCTTAAGGAGGAAGATATGAATGTAGAAAAAATTACAACCAGAGCTCTGCTACAATGTAAGATTTCGGTGCTCTAAAACTTCTCTGAAGCCTTTGCTAATTAATAGGATGGCCGACCGTCCAGCATTAGCCGGGACGTCCCGTATTTGAGCCAAAAGAGGCACGTCGCCGCATGGGTAAATGCTAAAGCTACATGCTGCTCCGGAGGGGGATTTAGTCCCACATTGCTGGGGAGTTGCCTGGGAAGAAGCGAGCGGCTAAAATACGGGAGGATTCGGTAAACCGGCGCGGATCCGGTGTGTTTATCAAAGCGTGGTGGCGGTGCTGAGGCACCGGGGGAATTTAGGCTAAACAGTAAGTCAAAATAAAACGTTCATACTTTCAGATGCCACGTTTGTAGTAGGATCACAGATAGTTGGTACAGATCCATTCTTTATCTTCAGACATCTAGCAAATCCAGCGTTGAACTGTCCCTCATTGATAAAACAGTCCGAAGTGAAATGGTGCGCACATACGTACAGATATTTTGGAAGTGCCGCGGGTACATTCCCATTATAAATAAAATCCACCCATTGAGACCTCAAATCCTCTGATGAGGGAGTTTTCAAAAGAGTTTTGTGCTCGTTTGTGCAGCCAACAACAGAGCAAACGCTGCCCCTTTTCCCGTTCGTACTTTCGCCATGGTTCTAACCGGAGCAATGCGAGCGAGCGGCCGGGAATAATGGCGTTGCTTTGATAATTTTGTGGGCAGGGCAGTGGGCGGCTCCATGGGCAGTACCATCAACCCGCCAGCACTGACATGACGTCATGTCAGTGGAGTTTTCAGAACGGCCGGCTCTGAGCACACAGTTTCTAAATACGGAGATAACTAAAAAACGACTGGATGGAATTTTTCTGAACTTGGGGGGATTGTAGCAGTTTTCTATCCCTGATATACACCCCCCTCCAGTTAACAAAGTCAGTTTTTCATGCCATGGCCCCTTTAACATAAATATGAAATTACACTGACAGACCTTACAAAAGAAAACACAGGATCCAAAGTTGAGTTTAATGATTTTATTTGTCACATTACAGATCATGACAGAGCTCCTGAATAGACTAATACAAATCTTCATTCAAATCATTCAGCAGGGAGGAGATGGGACCCAAATAGCACACATATGTCATGCCGATGTCAGCCTCAGGACTGCACATTGGCCTCCAGTCTATAACGTCTGACAAGCATCAGCCAAATAGCAAATTAAGAGCTCATATGCCCCAGTTCATCAAATGTCTTAGCAAGGTTGTTTTTGCATTGGCTGGCTGACCACGCCTTCCAGTTTGGACAGTCCACCGATGGCAGTCACCATTACACGCCATTAAACACAGAGGAATGCAGACGAAACTATGCCAACTCGGACTGAGTTGTTTTTCAGGTAAGCTACTGACGTAAATTGGCAGAAAGTAACTTTTTAAAGGCAGTTCTGTTATGGTTAATAAAGTTGCTAACAACTGGGTATGCCCCGTCTCCTCTTAGATGCAAACGCACCTAGTCGCTACAGCCCTAAAGCACCAGACTGCTTGTTCTGGTCCTTCTCCCGTCTGTGCTGAGTTCAGACAATAAAGTGTTTTGAATAAAGTGACTTGACTTATGGCTCTTCATTA